GTGTAAGGGGGCGGGCGGACGGGGCTGGAAGATATGGCTGAGATCTAGAGGAGGGGGGGATGCGTCGCCCCCTCGCGCCTCTCCCGGCCGCTGCTCCTGGATGGGAAATGGCTCCGTAGATTCCATTAGGTGCTGAAGTAAACTGCGGGAGGGAGAAAAGCCAGAGAGTTGGTAACGGAAAGGGGAGACTCAGTCTGGACGCTTACCTCCTCTCCCTGGAAAGGCGCTTTTGAACACGTCAGCAGGGTGGGAGCGGCTGCCCGGGAAACACACGGGGCTCCCTGACCCCTTCAGGTGGTTCTGAACCGTTTTCAACACCAGATCGATCAACTGATCTACCTAGCACTGCTCATACCGCTATCCCCTTAAGCAGAAATCAGAACCGAAGAAAATATTTTAAAAGACCTGAGTGTTATTTCTCTTATATTTGATGTATTGCGCCTGTGGATTTTGCCACTGAGAGTGTGACACGATCATTGGTATCCGATAGTAGCCGTGATGACGCCTGGGCTCACACATTTAGCAGTCCCGTGTCTTTAAGTAAGGTACAGGTTTCCCTTGCTCGAAAGCCAGTCGAGTCCGACTCTAGGGTTGCAGTGCTCATCTCCATTTCAAAGCCGAAGAGCCAGCGCTGTCCGAAGACGTTTCCCTGGTCATGTGGCCGGCATGACTAAACACCAAGGCGCCCGGAACGCTGTTCCCTTCCCACCGAAGTGGTACCTATTTATCTACTTGCAATTTCTTGCTTTCGAACTGCTAGGTTGGCAGGAGCTGGCACTAGAGACGGGAGCTCACTCCGGCATGCGGCACACTCGGGTCTCCAACTGCTGAACTACCGACCTTCCACAGCCTGCAGTTCAGCGTCTTAACCACTTGAGCCACCGCAGCTCCGTCTATAAGTAAAGGGGTGACTAAATTACCCCTCAGCTCATTGAATACGGGGCACTCCATAATCATACGCTCAATGGCTTTGATTGTATGATACGAGCACCTGCATGTTCTATTAAAGTATGGTACTTTATTATATCTGCCCTCCAAAACTGCCGAGGGAAGAACGTTCAGTCTTGCCAAAGTAAAAGCTCTTCTTAGTTTTGGGACTGTCAACTGAGAAAAATATTTCGGCACTTGCATCGGGAGGGCGATTCCCAAAAGGAAGTGTCGAACATACCCTGTGTTTCCTAATAGACGTATTTGTAACATCCAATTTCCTTACAGATATTTTGTCTTCTAGTGTCTTTAGTGTCCGTATTTTTAATCATATCGTTTGCTATTCCTAGGCATTTCATTTTCTTTTCCAATAGTTGATCCCACTGGCTGTAATGTGTATCTGCCCAGATAGGCCCAAGTAGAGTAGGGGTGGGGGAACTTACCAGCAGCAAACTGAGGCCTAGGCTTCTGTCATTGGCGGCATGGGGACACTCTGGTATCTGAACAGAAACTCTATCGTAGGAGCTGTTTTTACCATAGAGTTTTTGCCCAGATACCAGAACGTCCACACATTGCTGGGGACATGATGATGTCACTTTTGATGCACGCCAGAAGTGACATCACTGCATCGTCCGTGACAAGAGAGGCTTAAGCCTCAGTCTTGCTGCTGGCGAGTCCTCCGGAGAAACTGTCTGGCCACTGTGTGAGACGGGATGCAGGACGAGATGGATCACTGGTTCTGACCCGGCAGGGCTCTCCTTCTGTTCGTGTGTGGGCATCCCAGGACACTGCGTTGGGCAGCGTGAGAGACAGAGGATGACGGATGAGACGGACTGCAGGGCTTGGACAACGCTTGCGCTTTCTGACCAGAGCCCAGATTAAGCGCACCCACAAACTGGGCAGGCAGCCCTTCTCCCCGCCTTACTCACCGATGATAATGATCAAGATAACGGTGCATATCACCCCCAGGATTATCATCATCTGCAAGAAGAAGAAGAAGAAGAAGGAGAGAAAGCAAACATAAGGACTACTAATTTGGGAGAGGAGACGGTGTGGGCTATTCGGCGGAGATGCAGAGATGCTGAGCAGCCCTCCTCGGAAAAGACAAAGAAATTCCTACCCCGGTTCCCATAGGATGGGTGGCAGGTTATGAGTCGTTCGACGTGGACGCACTCCGTGCATGTTCAGAGGCCCCCACACTCAATAATCCATTTACGTTTCTCGGGATCGAGAGTGGACGGCTTTAAAAGAGGATCAGAACGATTCGTGGAGGAAAGGTCTACCAGCGGCTACTAGCCATGGTGACTAAAGGGAACCTCCATGTTCAGAGGCAGTCAACCTCTGAATCCCAGTGCCAGGAGGCAAAGTCATGTGAAGGCTTCGGTCTCTCTGCCCTGTTGTTGGCCCTCCAGAAGAACTGGCTGGCCCCTGTGTGGGACGGGAGGCTGGACTAGACGGACCCTCCCTGGTCTGATCCAGCAGGGTTCTTCTGATGTTCTTATAAAGGCCTCAGCCTCCATGCCCTGATGCTGGCCCTCCAGAGGAACTGGTTGGCCACTATGTGAGACAGGATGCCAGACTAGAAGGACCCTCCCTGGTCTGATCCAGCAGGGCTCTTCGGATGTTCTTATGGAGTTAAAAACAGATTTTGGGATTGGGCATTTTCTGAGAAACCATCGTTCAAGTTACCCCTTGGGGAGGTGGGCCAGTTGGAGGAACCCGGGGGGCTCCCCAATTTCGCATTACCTTTAGATTCTTCCACCAGTACTTGCGTTTGAGCTTGGCGGCACTGGTTTCGAACTGGGATGCTCCGGCCTGCAGGGCGTCTGCGCGGTCGTCCAGCTCCGAAAGCTTCTGATCTCGCTCGAGCACCTTGTCCACGTTCACCCGCATGATGTCCACCACCTGGGACGAGAGGGGGGGGCAGATGATACACACAGCCGTCCACCAGTACGGTCAAGAGCGACACCCTTATGCTGAACTCTAGTGAGTTCTTGACCCTTCAGACACTTGCAAGGGAACTCAAGAGAAGGGTCCTCCTCTCTAACCGTGCTGGGAGAGAGAGGTCAACCCCTATCCCTCTGAATCGTCCAGCATGTGGAGAGAAAGGATAAAGCACTTGGGGCTCTTTAGCTTGGAGAAACGACGGCTGGGGGGGTGTGTGTGTGACATGATCGAGGTTTATAAGATTATGCCTGGGATAGAGCAGGTCGAGAAAGAGGCACTTTCCCCCCTTTCTCACAAGACAAGAACCCGTGGGCACTCCATGAAATTGCTGAGCAGTCGGGTTAGAACGGATAAAAGGAAGTCCTTCTTCACCCAAAGAGTGATTAACACATGGAATTCACTTTTTTTTTCCTGGTATTTTTGGCCACTGTGTGACACAGACTGTTAGACTGGATGGGCCATTGGCCGGATCCAACATTGGCTTCTCTTATGTCCTTATGTTCTAGTGTCCTGGCCCCACTGGTGGACCTCCTGATGCCCCCTGGTATTTCTGGCCACTCTGTGACACAGACTGTTGGGACTGGATGGGCCATTGGCCTGATCCAACACTGGCTTCTCTTATGCTCTTACGTTGTAAGGACGGGACTGTGGCTGAGTGGCAGTTTCTTTCTTCGCCAGCATTTGTGCACAGAGGTGGCCCAAACTTTTTTTTTTTTGAGGGGGGGGGGGTAGCTGAAATTCCTAGGCATAACCCTTGAAGGCATGACTGGCTTACAAAGCGGTAATCAGACAGCCTGCAGAGAAAATGTTCGCCCTTGGTCCAGCACAGAGCTCAGAGGATGGGGGCACGAGCCTGGCACACACAGGGTCCCAAGTTCAATCCCCGGCATCTCCAGTTAGGAAGATTAGCTGCAGCAGTGTGGGGGAAAGGCCTCTCTCTGCCCAAGACTCTGAAGAGCTGTTGCCGGTCGGGGTCGACCCTTGTTTCCCAACCTGTGGGTCAGGGGCCAGCCCTCCCTAATGGCTGCCCCTGCCTTTTCTCTCTTGGAAACCAAGCTCTGACCCTGGAGACACTACCTTCCGTGTCGTCCATCAGTTGGTCGTTTTTCTTCACTGCAATAGGCGTTGATCAAGAAGAGGAGAAGATTGGATTTATACCCCGCCCTTCCCGTGGAGTCTCAGAGCGGCTCACAGACTCCTTCCCCTTCCCCTCCCCATAACAGACACCCTGTGAGGGCCATTGGCCGGATCCAACATTGGCTTCTCTTATGTTCTTACGTTGTAAGGACGGGACTGTGGCTGAGTGGCAGAGCCTCTGCTTGGCATGCAGAAGGTCCCAAGTTCAATCCCCCCCCCCGGCACCTCCAGTTAAAAGGTCCAGGCAGGAGGTGATGTGAAGAAGGACCCTCTTCCCCAGACCCTGGAGAGCCACTGCCAGCCTGAGCAGGCAAGACTGACTTTGACGGACCGAGGGGCTGATCCCGTATGAGGCAGCTTCGTGAGTTCAAAGACCCTCAGGAAGGGACAGGTGCTTGCTTCTCGGCGCACCGCACCGTATCTGGAGAGGCTGCTCCCGAAGTGAAGGCCCTACTCTGCCTCTCCCGGTCCAAGCTGGGCACAAGGGCAAGGGGGGGAAGGCCACAGCGATCCTGAGCATCAGCTTACTGCATGGCTTTGGGCAAAGATCAAGACGGGGAAGCCTTGTCGGTCTGTCTGCAGCAGCAGGGAAGAGCAGGAGTCCAGGAGCACCTCGAAGGCCAACGACATTTGCGGCAGGGGAGGAGCTTTCATAGGTAAAAGGTAATGCTTTCCCTTGCCCCAAAGCCAGTCGAATCCGACTCTAGGGTTGCGGCGCTCATCTCCGTTTCCAAGCCGAAGAGCCAGCGCTGTCCGAAGACAATTCCATGGTCATGTGGCCGGCAGGACTAGACGCCGAGGCACACGGAACGCTGTGACCTTCCCACCGAAGCGGTACCTATTTATCTACCTGCAATGTCTTGCTTTCGAACTGCTAGGCTGGCAGGAAGGGACTTTCATACCCCGCCACAAATTCTGTTAGTCATTAAGGTGCTACTGGACTCCTGCTCTTTTCTACTGCTTTGGACAAGGTCACCCAGTGGCTTATCCCACTACTGACCACTACTACACCAAACTGGCTCTCAAACATATCCTGGTGGTTACTAGAGTTTCTTAGACTCTTGTGGGGCGAGGAATCAGAGGGAGTGTAGCAAAAGCTGGGATGTAACCAATGTTCCCTCTAAGCTGAGTCAGTGTGAGATAGCTCACAGTTTCTTAGCCTCTGGCTCACATATTTGTTTTAGCTCAGGAAGGATGGGGCTCCAGAGCAAACTAATTTATGCAGTAGCCAAATCGCTCGCTCACAACTTTACTGCCAGTTGCTCATAAAGTAGAATTTTTGCTCACAGGGCTCCACAGCTTAGAGGGAGCATTGGATGTACCCTCCATAGGAAAAGGCTGCATATATCAGAATGCCACTGGCTTGAGGTTATACCGAGGGCAGCTACGTCCAGTGTTCCCTCTAAGCTGAGTTAGTGTGAGCTCGCTCACAGTTTCTTAGCCTCTGGCTCACACATTTTTCTCTTCGCTCAGGAAGGATGGCTCCAGAGAAAACTAATTTATGCAGCAGCCCAATCGCTCGCTCACAACTTTAATGCCAGTAGCTCACACAGTAGAATTTTTGCTCACTAGACTCCACAGCTTAGAGGGAACATTGGCCACGTCCAGTGTCCCCTGTAAGCTGAGTTAGTGTGAGCTAGCTCACAGTTTTTTACCCTCCGACTCACACACTTGTATCTTAGCTGAGGAAGGATGGCTCCAGAGCAAACGAATTGATGCAGCAGCCAAATTGCTCGCTCACAACTTTAATGCCGGTAGCTCAGAAAGTAGAATTTTTGCTCACAAGACTCCACAGCTTAGAGGGAACATTGGCTACCGTCCTTCGTGGGACGGTTGTTGGCTTCTCAAAAGCACCCGGGTTAGCCACTGTAGAAAACTGAATGCTGAACTACATGGGTACCAGGGTCATGGTTTACCCAGGGTGCCAAAAAACCTGGTTCCTGCCCTGAATACTCCTCTCCATCTTCCTCTCTCCCTGTGTTAAATTCTAACCTTCTCAGGGCAGGGACCTGTAACTTGGCGAAGCACCATTCACCTCCACGCTGCTGCGCAAAACACACAACGCCCAGACGTGGCAAAGAAGAGCGGGACCACGGAAGTGCAATGCAAAGGCCTCCCAGGAGGTGGCACAAGCGAGCCAAGCCACATGCAAGAAGCTGGGGGTGCAAGGCTCCCTCTCAGCTGTGGAGTCCTGTGAACAAAAATTCTACTTTGTGAGCGAGTGGGCATTAAGGTTGTGAGCGAGCGATTTGGCTGCTGCATGCATTAGTTTGCTCTGGAGCCCTCCTTCCCGAGCCAAGACAAAAATGTGTGAGCCGGAGGCTAAAAAACTGTGAGCTAGCCCACACTAACTCCGCTTAGAGGGAACACTGCTCTGGAGCCCTCCTTCCTGAGATAGGACAAAAATGTGTGAACCGGAGGCTAAAAAACCCTGAGCTAGCTCACACTAACTCCTAACTAATTTATACAGTAGCCAAATGGCTTGCTCACAACTTTAATGCCAGTAGCTCATGAAGTAGAATTTTTGCTCACAAGACTCCACCGCTTAGAGGGAACGCTGCTTGTGGGTCACCATACTGAAAGGCTGCGACTCGACAGACTATGTTACCTGGAAGGGGGCAGTTACAAGCACAGCTGGAGTCTCACAAAAAGAGACACCCTGGTCACTGGATGTTCCAGCTATGAGCAAAGATCTCCCAGTACAGTAACTCTTAAGCGTCTTGTGCTGAAGAGGGTGCATTTTCATGCCACGTTGGCGCTCCTCTCCATCTTCCTCTCTCCCTGTGTTGAATTCTAACCTTCTCAGGGCAGGGACGTGTAACTTGGCGAAGGACCATTCGCCTCCACGCTGCTGCGCAAAACACACAACACCCAGACGTGGCAAAGAAAAGCGGGACCATGGACATGGATTGCAAAGGGCTCCCAAGAGGTGGCGCAAGCGAGCCAAGCCATGTGCAAGAAGCTGGGTAACTCAGCTTAGAGGGAACACTTGGCAGCCCATTGGATCTGGGGGCCAGGCAAAATGCGCCGTTCCAGCCTTCCTTGGGGCAATTTTCCTAGGACCATAACTCTATGCCACTGCAACACACCCCCAGGTAATGGATGGGCCACGACGTCTGACACCAGACCCCTGTGCATGTACACAATGGGGCCCGGGGCTCATGCGCTTCCCCACTGCAGGACAGAGTCACCGAGAAGTTATCTTTTCGCTCTCCAGGTTCCTCTTCTTGTGCACGGCACGCACTCCGGCTTCTCACCTCATCCACCTGCGCTTGTGTTTGCTGGA